TTACCCTGCTGGGTAACATCATCAGTGCAGCCTCCGATGAAGCGCTGTTGTGTTTTCCTGCCTGTTATTTAAATTCTGGAGTTTAAGTACTCAAAACTTAATTCTGTCCAAACTGCCATGTTGCTGATGGATCCTCAATGCAGCTTTGCCTCTTATACTTGCTGGGTAACAAAAGGCTGAAATCCATCAGGTTCTCCTTAGAGTCAGAGCTGTACAGCATGGAAACAGACCCTTCAGTTCAACTCATTCATGCCGACCAGATAACCTAAATAAATCTACGTCCATTGGCCAGCATTTGGTCCGTATCTCTCTCGACCCTAAATAAAAACCAAAAGAACTGTGGATGATGTAAATCAGGAACAAAAACAAAATTGCCGGAAAAGCTCAGCAGGTCTGGCAGCATCTGTGGAGGAGAAAACAGAGTTAATGTTTCAGGTCCGGTGACTTTTTCAGCAACTTTGTCTTTGTTCTCTCTTAAACCCTTCCTATCTATGTACCCATCCAGATGCTTTTTAAATGTTGGAATTGTACGAACTTCCACCACTTCCTCTGATAGCTCATTCCATACATGCATCACCCTCTGTGTGAAAAAGTTGCCCTTAGGTCCCTTTTAAATCTTTCCCCTCTCACCTTAAACCTATGCCCCTCTAGTTTTGGACTTCTGCACTCCGCAGAAAAGACCTTGGCCATTCAACCCATCCAGGCCCCTCGTGATTTTATAAACCTCTATAAGGTCACCCCTCAGCCTCCGATGCTCCAGGGAAAATAGCCCCAAACTATTCAGCCACTCCCGATAGCTCAAACCCTCCAACCCTGGCAACATCGCTCTACTGTTATGGTAGCAAGACATTAACACACAAGTAGCCCATCGAGTCTACGCCACCATTCAATGAGATCATGGCTGATCTGATAATCATCAACTCCACTTTCCTGCCTTTTCCCTATAACCTCTGATTCCTTTACTGATTAAAAATCTGTCTGTCGGCCTTGAATGTACTTAAAGACCCAGCCCCTCCAGCCCTCTGTGGTAAAGAATTCCACAGATTCACTAACTTCTGAAAATAAATTCCTCCTCATTTGTCTTAAATGGGTACCCTCTTTGAGATTGTACCTACTGGTCCTAGATTCTCCCACAAGAGGAAACAACCTTTCCACATCCACCTTGTCGAGTTTCATAAGAATCTGTATGTTTCAACCCAGTGAACCTTTTCTGGGCTGCCTTCAAAGCCGTTATATCTTTCCATGGGTAAGGAGACTAAAACTGGTTAGCAAAAACTCCCCGATTTTATCACAAACAAAAACAAATGGCTGGAGAAACTCAGCAGGTCTTGCAGCATCTGTGAAGAACAAAATCATAGTTAACATTTCGGGTCCAGTGATTTTACTCCATATTATTTAACTCCATTCTTTTTGAAGTAAAGGCCAACATTCCATTTGCTTTCCCTGTTACCTGCTGAACTTGGATGCTAGCAGTTTGTGCTTTGTGCCCAAGGACATTTTCTGTAGTTTTCGTACATTTAAATAATGTTCAACTCCTCGATTGTTCCTGCCAAAGTGCATAATCTCACGTTTTACCACATTATATTCAATCTGCCAAGTTTTTACCCACACAATTAACCAGCCTTTAGCCCTCTGCAGATTCATTATCATCCTCATCACTTACCTTCCCACCTACATTTGTGGCATATGCCTTCTTTCTGAATACATTCATTTTCCTCCACCAAGTCATTAATATATTATAAATAATTGTATCCCATGCATTGATCCCTGTAGCACTCCACTGTTACCATCCTGAAAATGCCTCCCTAATCCTGAACAAAAACAGAAATTGCTGGAGAACCAAAGCAGGTCTAGCAGTGTCTGTGGAGACAAACCAGAAACAATATCTTGGGTGCAGTGACCTTTCTTCAGAACTAGTTGTAGCCAGGGAAAGGTGGTTCAAATGCTGAAGACAGGATGAAGCAAGGAGTAAACGGTAGATGGAGATGGAGCCCAGACAGAAAGAGAACAGTTGATGGGCAGATGAAGGAATGGAGAACAGTGTGCTGGAGAGAAAGAAAAGCTGCCCTTGGGGACCGCTGACATCTTACGATACCACAACAGTGGGGGTTATTCAAGTTACAGTGATTAACCCCTACCAGTGAGTCTATAACTGATCCTGACACAAGATGAGGAAACCATCCAGAAGCTCTCAATCACCCATTCTTCGCAAAGTCTCTACTTACCACGTGTCACATTTCATTAATTGCCTACAAGAATCTAAACTGTTTATTTTCTCGAGTAACATTTCTTAGGAAGAAGGTAGAATGGGAAAGGGATTGCAATGCATCAGTTGCGACTGTGGTGATAGTTTGCATGTTGCTCATTCCTGTTGCAATGTGTGAATAGGGTGGCACAGCGGCTCATTGGTTAGTACCGCTGCCTCACAGCGCCAGGGACCCGGGTTTGATTCCAGCCTTGGGCGACTGTGTGTAGAGTTTGCACATTCTCCCCATGTTTGTGTAGATTTTGCCTCTGGGTGTTCCAGTTTCCTCCCATAGTCCAAAGGTGTGCAGGATATGTGGATTGGCCATGGGAAATGCAAGGTTACAGGGATAGGGTGGAGGGTAGGTCTGGATATGTGCTCTTCAGAGGATCAGTGTGGACCTGATAGGCTGAATGGCCTGTTTACACACTAGGGATTCTGTGATATTCGATGATTCACTTATTTATATGAAGGGCTGTTATTTTAATCAGCTGATGAATCAGACAACTGATACCAAGAAAGTTCCAGAAAGTAAATCCAAGATCCGATCAAAAGAGGAAACATCAATTGTGGAGAAGGAGAATCACCGAGTTAAACCAGAGAAAGGAGCAGAAAGCAATACCCAGCTGGACTCTCAAATTGTACATGTGCTGCAGAAAAGAAAGAGGTTGAAACCTGATAAAAGCACAACACCGGGGATGCTGCAGAGCACGAGAAAGAAAACAAGGAACAGTCACAGGTCTCCAGAAGAACATATTTCTGGGAGAAAAAAAAGAACCATGATTGAACCAGGAACTGAGAACCACACAGAGTAAGTTTGTGGGAAGTTTCCCTCCTCATTCCCTCAACCCTCCACTTTACTGCAGAATCCTGTTGTCATTTGAATTGAGCAGATTGTGATTAGGCAGGTCTGTTTAAAATTCTGTAGAGATAGAATAGAACAGATAACAGAGCATAATGTTTTCAGTGACTGAGGGATCTGTGTGCTTTTTGCAGGTCATCAAGTCAGGCCCTTTTTGGCAAATCTCCATTTCAAAATCTCTGGGCTGTTTCAGGTAGCCAGCCTCTGAGTACTTCCTGAGGCCACGTTAGTCTAGTAGATTACTTAATGTTCTTGGCTTTGGCCTGGAGTTAGGGGCTGGCTGGCTGTTGTGAGAACCTGAACTAAGTGAAAATAGTAGATCCCTGTTCCAATCCAGAATGGCCACAACTCCCAACATTAAACTAACACTTGGATTTTCATCTGGCTTGGGAAGCTGCAGTTCTTGGCTCAATCATCTTCAGGTGCTTCATCAATGACCTTCCCTACATCATAAGGTCAGATGTGGGGATGTTTGCTGATGATTGCAGAATATTCAGCACCATTCATGACGACTCAGATACTGAAACAGTCCATGTTCAAATGCAACAAGATCTGGACAATATTGGGCTGCCAGGTGGCAAGTGACATTCACACCACACAAGTGGCAGCCTATGATCGTCTCCAACTAGGGAGAATGTAATAGTTACCTCTTGACATTCAATGGTGTTACCATCACTGAATCCCCCACTATCCACATCCTGGGAGTTACCATTGACCAGAAACTCATCTGGACTCACCACATTAACGCAGTGGCTACAAAAGTAGGTCAGAGGCTAGGAATACTGCAGCGAGTAACTTAGCTCCTAAATCCCCAAAGTCTGTCCACCATTGACAAGACACAAGTCAGGAGTGTGATGGAATACTCCCCACTTCCCTGGATGAGTGCAGCTGTAACAACACTTATTAAGCATGAAACCATCCAGGACAAAGCATCACACTTGATTGGCATCAAATCTACAAATATCCACTCTCTCCATCACTGACGCTCAGTAGCAGCGTGTATACTATCTCCAAGATACACTACAGAAAGTCACCAAAGCTCCTTAGACAGCACCTTCCAAACCCAAGACCAGAATGTCAAGGACAGCAGATACATGGGAACGCCACCCCCTGCAAGTTGTCCTCCAACCTACTCACCATCCTGACTTGAAAATATATCACCGTTCCTTCAATGTTAGCGGATAAAATCCTGGAATTCCCTCCCAAAAGGCATTGTGAGTTATACCAAATGAACTGCAGCAGTTTAAGAAGGCAGCTCACCACCACCACCACATGGGAAATTATGTTTTGGTAACAAATGCTGGCCCAGCCAATGATGTCCAGATTTCCTGAATTAATTTTGAAAGCCCTTGAGAGATCTCTGCAACTCTATTTCTGGCCGTTCAGTATCTTCAGTTCAAATTATCCTTCCATTAGCAGAAGTTTCATTAGCAGCCTGGATCATAAGCTCTAGAATTTGAGGGGGAAGCGTTGCTTGATGACACTTTGAATTGCCTTGCCTGTTTTACTGTCTTAAAGATGCTGTATAAATACAAAACATTGAAATGCCGTTCCATCTGTAACAACTGTTTTGAGGAGTGGGGTTAGTGTACTGTACTTAGATGCAGGATCAGTGTTGATCTTGATGCAGCTTCCTTACTCTGTTCTCCAACAGGCCTGATATCTGGTTTGACGATGTTGATCCAGATGATATAGAAGCTGCAATGGGACCTGAAGCTGCAAGTGTTGCTCGGCAGCAGATAGCACAAACAACAGGAAAGCCACACTCTGCAGTACACAGCTTGGAAAAGGTGCTGGTTAAAGATGGAGCCTTCCAGGGGTAGGTAGTCAGCAACTGCACTTCATTTGTTAACTGACAGCTGTATCAATGGGGACAGAGTAGAGAAAGCGTTACTCCATACCTAATCCCATGCAGTACCTGTCCTGGGAGTGAGTTTGATGTAGATGGTGTAGAAAATAGGAGCAGGAGTAGGCCATTCGAACCCTTTGAGCTTGCTGCTCCATTCATTACGATAATGGCTGATCTTACAACTCAATAGCCTGTTCTGTTTTTTTCCCCATATCCTTTGATCCCTTTAGCCCCTAGTGCTATATCCTACTCCTTCTTGAAAACATTGTGGTTTGGCCTCAAGTGCTTTCTGTGGTAGCAAATTCCAAAGGCTTACCAGTCTCCAGGTGAAGACGTTTCTCCTCATTTCAGACCTAAATTGTTTACCCCGTATCCTTCGACTGTGACTTCCTGGTTCTGGACTCCCCCTGCCATCAGGAACATCTTTCCTGCTACGTTGTGCAGATCTGTTAGGATTTTGTAGGTTTCTGAGATTCCACTCCCCCCCCCCCCCCCCCCCCCCCCCCCCCTCCCCCCCCCAACCCGGATCACCCACATTCACCCAACCCCCACGTCC